TCCCGTGGGTACCCGCCGGGCGAGACGGGCCCGGCTGCCGCGGGGGCGCCCTGCGATGGGTCGCCGTGACCCCGTTAGTCCGGAGCCCCAGGAGCCGGGCAGCTGCCTTCAATGTCACATGGTGGCCCCCGGCGTGTTGCGTGTCCCCTTCCACCCTCCGTGTCCCGAGGAAGTAGCTGTTACTTGTGGCATGCGAAATTGAAAGGTTTCGCCAGTTTCCGTTAAGGAGTCATTTAATATTTCATCTGGAAGTGGTAAATGTGAAAGTTCTCCCAGAATACTTTTTAGATGGTATGTATTTTTCTGCGCTTCTGTAAAACATACAAAAACCTGTAATACATTCAAAAAGTTTTAGTTTAGGTAGTTTATTCGGGAAGCACATTAAGTGCTGCAGAAGGAAGGGAATTCAGTGCCTTCATTTGCTTTCAAAATTCTAGTTTTGTTTGCCTCATCCCCCATAACAACAGAGGTGCCACCCCTTGGAAATAGCACTGGGTAGGTTGTACTTTCAAGGTGAAATAGATCTCTTTTCTGACACTGTGATAGGACTGTGGTCCCTCAGTACTCGGTACCCCTCGGTAGTGGATTGAACACGATGCGTAATCAGGCCTCTTTTTGACTGCTTTGACATGTGCTTGTTTGTCCTCTGGTTGTCTTGCCCTTTACACCTGCTGTTCCACATGTGTGCGGCCCTGCTTGTAAATTCAGATTTTGGAGTGGATTTCAGTTCTCAGGACTGGTAAAACGCAGGCCACGTCGCAGTGCTGCAAATGAAGATGACATGAAGTGGGGTCTCCATGCACAGGGCTGTCCATGGTACCTGCTCTCTTCCTTCAGAACAACTGATCAACTCAGACTAACTTGTTCTGCTGTATTTTTCTGTTTCTTGCACAGTCTTACATGTTGCCTGGATTGCGCCAAGCTCCAGCCTACCTCCTGAATTTGCATAATTTAAATGAAGAAGAACTATGCACTTGCTTAATTCACTTGCTATTTGGAACCCATTACTGCATGCACTTGCTGTGGACCAAAATGCACACACCATAGTCTCATATATATATGAGCAAATGTGAGTCCGTGCATACAGGGCTCCCAAGGGACAAGAGCAGTTGTACTGCAGGCACATAGCTATTTGATAAGTTTTTTTTTCTCACTTCTCCACATTAGATATGGAGATACTAATAGAGAAAAAAATGTTTGTTTTTTTTTTTTAAGAAAGAAGTAATGAATATGTTTCTTTCCAAAATAGTTTTCTCACTTCCATGTTTGTGACCAAAAAACTTATTGTAGCAAAATGTAAAGGGTCACAGATAGTGAGTCCTTGTGGTGTAGTTGGTATTCGAAACTTTACATTTCAAGTCTATTTTATAAGTAAATATTTACTAGTAACTGTGAACGCTGGATAAGAGACTCTCATAGGACTCTGCATAATAGACTCTTCTATCAACTGGAAGTTGGTAGGATACCAGTCTCCAGAATCCTTGCTTGGGATATGTGGGCCAGCTGATGCAACAGAATCACCTAATCGTATTAGTTGGATTTTTTAAAAATACTGTTAGTGACTTTCTTGTTGCTCAACTGTATGTTTTTGTAGCTAGAAATAAGACATGCTGCTTGTTTTCACTAACCACAGAAGCCCAGCAGTGAAGGAACTTGCTAATATTGCTGAAGCATTGCAAAAAACCACATTATTTACCTTCCTCCTTAATAAAAACAAGCCCAAAATACCACTCATTTTTCCCACTTGCTTGCGTAATGCATTTGCATCTAAAAATTTGTAAAAGTATGAATTTGTTTAATATTTTGACAACCATACAACACTTTCTCAAGGACCCAGGTTCATATAAAAAGAGGTATTTTTGTTTTCATTGCTTTCTTGCTTCTGCAAGGCACATGGTGTGCCTTGCTTCTGGGTATCCAGCCACAATGTGAGGCTGGAATAATCGTCTCTGCAGGGTCCCTTTTTATCAGCATAAGACTGTTTAAAAAAAAACGTCCCTGTGCACTTAGAGGCTAAAGGGGAGCACATAGTCAGTGTTTTGCAATGCAGTGTAGCAGGAGAATATATCAGGGCACTTTTGTGTTTTACAGAACAGGGTCTTCAGTATGGTAGTTTCACAGCTATTTAGGTACTCTTCTATTGTAAATAGTGATGTGTATATATATATAATTATCTTTTCCTATGGGAGCTGATATCCCACATTTTTTTTTTTTTTTTGCATTCTGTTTTTATACCTGAGTGTGGATCTGCTTATTGCTTAACCATTCTGCATTTTGAAGGACATAAATGTTTGCTAATACAGCTAGTAAAAAGAAATAGTAGCACGTTTTTACTTCCCTATCCTGGAGTTGAAGCAGGATGCAGTGGAGACTGGTCTTGCACTTCCTTAATTAGCGTTAAAACTTATAGTGACTTAACGTGAGAAGTGAAACCTTATCTGATGTTGAGCAGTGTTGTACCTGATGGAGCCCCTTGTGTTCCAGGGCACTAATGGACTCAATGGGTGGCTACAGCTTGTGTGAGGTGCTCTGGACTTTACAGTTATGTCACCAAACTGGTGACTTCACGGCCACCCAGCCAGCTGTCCAGGCTGAAAGTTAGAAAGTTTGGTGTCTGGTTGTAGGATCTGCTGCTATTGTCCAGCTGAGCCAGGCTCTAAAGAGCCAGTGTTCTTGTGGAATGCTTTAGTTTCACATTATTTATAGAAACCTGTTAATTCCAACAAAAGAGTGATTTACTAGACAATGATTTGTATCCATCAGTGTTAAAAATTAGGGCATCTATTCTGCCGAGTGTTGGATTTTATGAAATGGTGAGTTTGCCCATAGAATAGCTGTAAAAAATAAAATAAACAAAGTAAATTACTTCATGGTCTCTCTTCATCTGATTAAAGGAGATTAGCATTTATATGTGGTATGATCCTGCATGCAGCTCTCACAGATATCTGTGCATATGCATAATCCGCTATGCTATGGTCATTACTTTTTTTTTTTTTTTTTTTTTTGCCAGTGCAAAGCTTGTGAAAGCATAAATACAGGAACTTAGTGAGCTTTTGTCGCAAGTGGACTCTTACTAGTGTAAGCCATGTCTCTGCTAGGTCATAGTAGAAAATACCAGCACAATGCCTGAAATTTAGATGTTGCTGAGTAATGAAGCTGGGCTATTTTCAGAGAAAGTGGCATGTTGTTAGTTAAGAATGAATTACAAAGGCTCTTGCTGAAATACAGTATGCAGAGGAGATGATAGCAAAGCAGTTGTT